CAGAGGGGACCATTCCCTGGAGAAGGATGTCATTGCTTGGTAGGGTGGAGGGTTGACGAAAGAGGGGAAGGCCTTCCACAAGATGGATTGACACGGTGGCTGCAACAATGGGCTCGAGTATAGCAAGGATCATGGAGCTGGTGCGGGATTGTGCGGTGTGTCGTTCTGCTGTGCATGGGGTCGCTATGAGTCAGAAACAACTCGACGGCACCTAACAACAACAACAACCCACCTTGGATTTACTGAAAATCACTGAGTGATTTTCATTCACATCAAAGTTTGGGAACTACTCTTCTAGAGCAGTGGACGTTGCAGTTTTGAATATCAATTCGCATTGCTCTTAAGAGATGCAAGCATTCTGCTTAAATGAGAGTTTTGGATAATAGGGTAGATTAATGTCTCCCACCAGCCACTCCTCGGAAGAAAGATGGGGCAATCTACTTCTGTAGTGATACTGCCTCGGAAACCCAAGGAGGGGTCGCTATGAGTCGGGTCCAACTCGATGGCACACAACAACAACAACAACAACAAATGTATCTCATGTCCTTCAAATCTTTGCTAAAACATCATCCTCCCTATGAGAATTCTCCTGATTTCAAATTACATATCACCCTCTCTCCCATACCTCTTACACTCCTTATTCTTCTTCCTTGTCCATAGCACTTAACGACATCTGACTGTCATAGTACATGTATGTGTGTGTTATTGGGAGGTGTCCCGGTGGCACAATGGTTGAGTGCCTGGCTGCTAACTCATTGGCATTTCAAACTCACCCACAACTCCACAGGAGAAAGACCAGGAGATCTGCTCCCATAAAGATTACAGCTTAGAAAACCCTATTGGGTAGTTCTACTCTGTCACATGGCATTTCCCTGAGTGGGAATCGGCTGATGGTGACCCACGTGCAGGGTAGAACCGCTCCAGAGGCTTTTCAAGGCTGTGGCCTTTTGGAAGCAGATCTCCAGGCCTGTATTCTGAGGCACTTTTGGGTGGGTTCAAACTGCCAACCTTCCAGCTAGTAGGTGAGTGCTTAACCATTTGTACCATCCAGGGACGTATGTGTGCACACACGTGTGCCTGCAAATTAGCTGACTCCTGCCTCTAGAAAGCAAGCTTCACAGGTAGGTAGGCTTATCCATTACTTCTCCATTGGTCTTGGCACCCAAACTTATGGTCAATTGACCACAAATATGAGGGTTTATTTCTCACTTCTGTTCCATTGATCTCTGTCTATCCTCAAGCTAATACCACACTTTCTTTTTCCTTTTTTTTAGTATTTTATTGTTTTTGGTGAAGTTGTCCCATTCGACAATTTCTATACAGATTGTTAGGAGCTCTGGTGGCATAGTGGATAAGGGACTTGACTGCTAACCGGAAGGTCAGCTGTTCAAACCCAACAGCTGCTCCATGGAAGGAAGACTGGGTGATATACTTCCATAAAGATTTACAGCCTTGGAAACCCAATGATGGTCACTATGAGTTCGTAAGGGAGCTCTGGTGGCATAGTGCCTAAGGCATTTGACTGCTAACCAGAAGGCTGGTGGTTCAAATCCACCAGCCACTCCTTGAAAGGAAGGTTGAGCAATCTACTTCTGTAGTGATATTGCCTCGGAAACCCAAGGAGGGGTTGCTATGAGTTGGATCCGACTCGTGGGCAGTGGGTATGAGTTCGTAAACAATGCAATGGCAGTGAGGTTTTTTTTTTTTTTTTTTTTGTACACAAATTGTTAGGTGACATTAGTTACAATTTTTTACAATGTGTCAGCATTGGTTTTGAGTTTTGATTGTTCCATTTCCAGTACTCTAGATTTCCTGCGCTCTTACATTCTTATCTCTGCTTTAGAGTCATTGTTAATCTTTTGGTAGTACCATACTGTCTGGAAGGCACAACTGTATCCCTAGCACCCAGGACAGTGTCTGGCACATGGCAGGTATTCAGTAGATATTTGAGGGTTGAGGGAATGTGCCAAGTTGCAGCTTTGTGCCTGGGCATAACGTCATTTGCCCAGTGTTTTTTTTCTAAAGGATTTAAAAAAAAAAAGAAAGAAAGAAAGAGCAAATTATTCTCCACTCTCCGAGTGATGCTCTGTGTGTAGCACTAGAGAGAAATAGCTGGAACCGCATCCTCTAATCTCCTAATTCTGGAGTCTGGGCTAGTTGCTCTAAAGCTCATTTTCCCTTAATACCACTGAGATCCTCAATTTACTATGAGGATCATGCGTTTACAGCTCGTTGTCTTGTGATGACTACCCCCTAAAACGACTCGTTTCCCCTCCCGTGAACAAAGTGGCCTGAAGCAGCGAGGCTGAGACGAATCTGCAATAGTAGGGGACTTTTCTAAGTCCATCCCACACCTGACTACTGCACTATATACCAGGTATTGACAAGAAATAGACACTTTCTCCTCTGAGGTTCAGAATGAGGACGTTAATAAATGGATCAAGTCTCAAGAAACCACTCACAGGCGTGGCTGGCTCTGAACCAGTGACCCTTACTCATTTTCTGTCCTCCAAGCCAGCCCCTTCCCCAAGAGTACCATCACAGAAGTCAGTGCTCCTGGATACTTGGGGCTCCCCACCCCCTGCACCTCCCCATTGGCCTCCTTTTGCACACAAGGAACCGGAAGCTCAGATCCAGAACTCCTCAGTTCCCTAACACCGGAGATGCCGCTTGCTGATCCACACCTGTGTCTCTCTCAAGGCATCTTTGCGTTTGTGTTCAGACAGTGGGAAATGCCCTGTCCCGGGTGCCCTCCACCCCCGGGTTCCAGGGGATGCTGGGAAACTGTGGAGGAGAGTAGGAGGATGAAAGGACAGGAAAAAGCAAGTTTGTTTCTAATGTTATGTGCACAGGGTGGCAGGATCTACCTGCTGCGCGCTCCCAGAAGGTCCCCAAGGAAACCATTAACGTGCGTCTCTCGGGTTCTTCAACGAGTGGAGGTTGGGGTGGGGGAGGGGAGGTGTACTGAGAGAAGGGGGATGGGCACCATTCCAGGGGTCAGGGGTATGTTGCCCGGTGCTGCTGCTCACGCTAATAAATGATGGTGAATGGAGGACAGATGTCAAGGTGAGCAGAAAGGAGTTTGTCATCAAGGGTTGTCACTGGGGTACTCTCGGTGGATTTAAGGTAGGGAGCGAGGAAGGAAGGAGGTGGGTCGGGAAGGAGGGGTCGGCGTGGCACTGAGACCGCCAACAGGGATGGGGATGGTGGGGGCGCCTTGGCTGTCTTAACCTCCAGGGCTGCTGGCTTTGACCCTTTCTTGGCTGGTTTCGGCCAGAGACGTGAGGGATCCTTCAGGCTTGGAGAAGTGGCGAGAGGGCGAGTGGCCCTTGGCTACTGGGGTGATAGAGAATGGACTTTCTCCGGGTTCTCAAGCTAGACATAGGGGGTTTTCTGAGGGGATGAGATGACTCCCAAGGGCCCTGGGTGAAAATGTGGGGGGTCTCAGAGATCCAGATGGGGGTTTGGGTGAGGTGAGGAGAGAAGGCGATTGCCCTAGTGGGGAGTGGTCTCCAACAGGGACTGAGAGGGAGGGGAAGTAACTCCAAATGCAGTGGGGGAGGCGGTATAGGTTCTTCCTTCGGATGGGGTGGGGCTTGGGGCTCGGCAAACGGGGGCATTCGAAGGGGAAGGTCCTCCGCGGAGCGGTCGGGCTCCTGAACTGGAAACGCGAGGCTCTAACAGGCTTGGACCTCTCCTCCAGGCTAGGTGGGGAGGGGCGGTGGCATCTGGAACCTGGCTTCCTGGATTCAAACTGGAGTCTGAGAGGGACTGACAGGAACCCTTAACCTAGCCAGGGGGTGAGAGAAACAGGGGAGACTCCTTATACTGGGAGACGGGGCGGAGGCAAAGTGAGACCCCAGGCTTGGGGTCAACAGACACTGTTGTCCACAAGAGTGGACCGAAGGGATTTTGGGGGAGTTAAAAGGGGTTCTCACCCTGGCCAGCAAGGGCTGAGGAGGGATTGGGGAATCGGAGCCAGTTTCAACTAGGGTGCCGATGGAGGCGCCCCACTCGGGACAAGAGGCGCTGAGAGGGTGCCCCAAAATAGGTATGGGGAACTAGGAGTGGATTGAAGGCCGCCAAGGGGGAACCCCAAAATAGGTTCCGAAGAAATTAGGGGCTACGAAGGTAGCTTCTCACTCGGGATTAGGGGAGTGAAGGGATTCTCAGCAGTTGAGAACGTGAGGGGATTTGGGGGCATTGGGACTACCCCCTCCCCGGCCCAGGGAGATTGGGGGGGTCTCTTAAAATCTGGATAGTGGGACCTACGAGCGAGCACTGGGGGGGGTCCCCGATCCGGAACCGAGCTACCTTGAAGGCACCGGGAACCGCTTCTTTCCGGGAGGGCGTTCCCGCGGCCCGGCCCCCGCGCTGGGGTTGGGGGTGCGGCCGCGCCCCGGCCCAGGCCCGCCCG